TATGAACAACACTGAAGAAATTGCTAGCACATTTAAATACTATGGGCCAAGAAAATTCAATATCATAATTTGTCAGCTGAGAAATCATGCTAGCAACCTAAATAGTGACTTATATATGGATCATCTGAATGACAAACCAGCATGTAGATGTGGACATGAAAATGAAAATGCGTTTCATTTTATATTTGAAAGCCCACTCTTTAACAACTGTAGAATGCAATTAGTAATAAAAATTTCTCAATTTGGTATAACTGGTAATCATGATCATTTTAATATAAAAACTCTATTAAAGTGATGCTTGATATGCAGCGCTGATGTTAACATATCCATTTTAAAAAGTATATCTGACTATATTTGTCAAACTAATAGGCTTGATATGTAATCTCACTCACAGCAAAACTTTACATTGAAAGTGATGCTATTATTTATAGTGTTATGATCACTCTGCTAATAAGTATTGATACTGGTGTATATTTATCTTCACAACATCTCTGGTATTCGGCTGGACTGGATGGAATTTATGAGTGTACTATTTTATAACCTGTTCTAACTATTTCAGAGATACATGAATATTCTATAGTGCCTTGTTAAATAAATTTTAAGAGAATCAACTCCAATAATATATAATGATAACTACATTTTCCTATATGAATCCATATCATATTCTGAAATTTTACAAAATGTTTATTTCTTGGTAACTTATCCTATATATCCAGTGAGTGGATGGCCAATGTGTTTATACACAAGGTCTTTTGGGCCTGTATCCCTTGGATTTCATGTAGGATGGGTTGTCAATAAATATACATGATTTATTTAATTATTAATATCTAAAACATAAACAGAAAATGATTAAAGCAAAGTTGAAAATGTTCATTTCACAAGCTAAATTGGAGATATCTCCCCTGCACTGTTTAATTGGATTGTTATGACAGAATATATGTAATGTTTGTAAATAAGTTTAGAAAGGACTTAAATAGGCCTAGCCTGATGTCCAATCCAATTGACATATATAAAGTCAATAAAATCTGATGAAATGAAACAATAGATTATAATAGAGTAAAAATATAACCTAGAAAGGGGATAATGTGAGAGAACACAGCAGGACGGCTAGAGAAGATGTAAGAGGAGCAAGGGACGGCGGGAGAAGAGACTAGAAGGGCTAGGAACGTTAAGAGACTGCACTAGGGTACAGATACCAACGACAGAGACCGATCCCAACCCTTGAGGTTACCAGAATAAACTTCTAACCAACCATCAACCCTTGTCACTCGTGTTGTGTCACATAAAGCGTAGTCAGGAAAGAAGAGAAATAATTGTTTTTTTCCCTCTAGTGTCAGCTTTCAAAGGCTTTTTAGTTAAAGTTTGTTATCAAAACAATGAAAGTGACGACAAAACAAACCTATATATGGGTCGACAAAAGTGAACATAATCGGAATACGTACTTGTAAGTTTATGTATCCGGCAGTTTATTACTACACTTACTTGGTACCAACCTGACGCTTGGACCTAGGTCGCTTGGCCCTGCTTTGTCTTATCTTAACTCGTCTGGCTTCTCGTGCTCGAAAGAGAGATAGCACATCACATTAGTGCTATATAATGTACTGATTGTAGTATGTTTTGTCCTTGTGAAGTTCACAGTGTAGTATATTTCGATTCTCCCTTTGTAGACTTTTGTAACTGTCGGTCCGCCATATATACTCATCCGTTAGATAATATATGTCTAAAATTAAGTCGGCTCGAAACAATTTAGTAAGATAAAAGGTCCCATTAGGCTCTAACTAGGTACAACTTACAATAGATACTGTCATATCTCCTAACGTAAGGTCAGTATGTGTGGATAAAGAAACCATCAGACTTAGAATAAAGTACAAACAGTGTCGACCTAAAAGAGAAAAACGTTCCACGACTGAACAGCAACTATTAAAGCAGAATAGAGCGAAGAAAGCAGGAAATATGTGATTGGTTAACGTGTTAAAAGACTTAATTGCAACCAGTAATGCTTGTATCTGTCACACTGAAAATGAAAGTCCAGATTTCTGATTAGTCAAGGGTGTTACTGTACTTAGTATTAATTTTAATTTGTGTGTAGCAAGCGGAATAACTCTAACATCAGGTTGTGTCTTATTTATAAAAGCCCTGCATAAAGCTACATGTAAGTTAATTAAAGAGATCAATTTATAAATGTTCGAATGTTGACTGTTCACCAATAACTTCGCTTGCAATTATGATATATGCGAAGATAGATACATCGCTAAAAATATTTTCAATATCTGCACTTTTTCTATTTCGGGTTCCGTCACACCAAACTTACACTTCCATTTATACTGAACAGAATCCTTCCATCACAGAGATGATTGGTATCAATTTCGATAAACTGCGCTTTGGGTAGACAACGACCTTCGTCTCGATGAACTACAAATCAGCTCTCATTTATAAAACTTGAGAAGATTACCATTGTTTGGGGCACTTTCTAAGCATTACAATCGCCCTACTAGCCACATCAGTGTAGGGTACTTTTTAACGTTGACAGAAGTGCGATCATAAGGAAGGTTATGTGTGCTATGTACTGTTTGGCTCCATATCAGTTTTGGTCCAAAAAGGTTTCAAAATAATACAAATCGGTTTTGAGATATTCTTCGATTTCTTGTGATGTTTTGATGCCATCCTTTATAAGTTTTTTGTGTCTGTTGGGATGAGGATTTTTGGATGGTGCTTGGGTCTATTGCGACATAATGATGTATAGCTTTGTAGATTCGTACGAGTGTGATTTGAAATCTACATGTTTTAATGAGGACATGCCCATCATGTATACTTTACTACAGAGTTTGTGGTACGTATATCTGTTGTGTATCAGGCTGCTCTGCGCTGTATTTTCTCTATTCGGTTGATTTGGGTATAGCGCTGTTCGAGTCCCATATGAAGAGTGTGGGTCTGAAAAAAGGCATTGTTTCTTTCAGATCGTTTTAGAAATCCAAAAGATCTGTTCACAGGTATAAGCTTTGTCTGCCGATACACATATACTTTATATTGTACATGTATTTGCAGACAAGACTAGCACAGAACTTTTATTTGTTGGAGGCGATGTTGCTATGCGTGTCCCACTTCAGATTGTGCCGGATACTACTTGCTATAATGTGATGTTGCGGAGTTAGCGGGTGCTTTTTTGTGCATTTGTTTTTGTAGAATGAAGTTGCATTTGTCGGGGTGCGCAATACCTTAAAAACACAAAAGTCGTTGGTTTTTCATATAGACATAGATTTATTCTGACAATATATACATAAACATATGAAGGACATACGATTCTGCAGCTCGTATTATACATATACATTATTGAAATGTCGTTCAACAAGACATGTCACCAGTCCTCTTTGTGAACGACAAGACATGTCACCAGTCCTCTTTGTGAACGACAAGACATGTCATCAGTCCTCTTTGTGAACGAATTGATTCTAATATTTAACCTTGCTATATGACTTTGTGGGTCTGAACCCTCTTTAATTATAAATAAGTCTGCAACTTCTTTGTCATATTTTCCTAAACATTATTGTATTCACCTCTACCATATCACTACATGTCTTAAATGAATATCGATATTGTCCCAGGCAATGGTCAGGATAAATGGAGTGTGACCAATAATTCGTGGTCAAGATTGATAAAGTGTGATGCATTTACTTTTGATCAGAGTTGTGTGGACCTCTAAATCCATTGTTATGATTAATGTTTTGTCATCTCTTAATTTATTATCAGATCAACAGTCTTGACCTCTCATACACATCCAGAGCTCATGGAGTGGGACGTTTTATCTCATGACCAGGTTGATGGAATGTGACCGTCTGTTCGTTTTTCTTTTACTTTAAAGCCTCTTTGTGAATGGTTCAAAGGATTGAGAAATTTAAGAAAGAATTGTGAGGAGGTGGGACCTCTTCATCAATTGTCTGGGCTGATAGAGTGGGACCTCTTCATCAATTGTCTGGGCTGATAGAGTGGGACCTTATTAATTGTCTGGGCTGATAGAGTGGGACCTCTTCATCAATTGTCTGGGCTGATAGAGTGGGACCTCTACATAAATTGTATGGACTGATAGAGTGGAACTTCTCTATCAATTGTCTGGGCTGATAGAGTGGAACTTCTCTATCAATTGTCTGGGCTGATAGAGTGGAACTTCTCTATCAATTGTCTGGACTGATAGAGTGGAACTTCGCTATCAATTGTCTGGGCTGATAGAGTGGAACTTCTCTATCAATTGTCTGGGCTGATAGAGTGGAACTTCTCTATCAATTGTCTGGGCTGATAGAGTGGAACCTCTTTATAACTTGTCTGGGCTGATAGAGTGGAACCACCTCTTCAATTATAATCTGGGCTGATAGAGTGGGGCCTCTTTATTATTGGTCTGGGCTGATAGGGTGAGGCCTACTTATTATTTCCTCTTCATTTATTGTCTGGGCTGATAGGGTGGGGCCTACTTATTACTTCCTCTTCATTAATTGTCTGGGAAGATAGAGTGGGGCCTCTTTATTATTTGTCTGGGCTGATAGGGTGAGGCCTACTTATTACTTCCTCTTCATTTATTGTCTGGGCTGATAGGGTGGGGCCTACTTATTACTTCCTCTTCATTAATTGTCTGGGCTGATAGGGTGGGGCCTCTACATAAGTTGTCTGGGCTGATAGAGTGGGATCTCTTCATTAATTGTCTTGGATGATACAGTGGGACCTTATTAATTGTCTGGGCTGATAGAGTGGGACCTCTACATTAATTGTCTGGGCTGATAGAGTGGGACCTCTTCATTAACTTTCTGGGCTGATAGAGTGGGACCTTATTAATTGTCTGGGCTGATAGAGTGGGACCTCTATATTAATTGTCTGGGCTGATAGAGTGGGACCTCTTCATTAATTGTCTGGGCTGATAGAGTGGGACCTTATTAATTGTCTGGGCTGATAGAGTGGGACCTCTTCATTAATTGGCTGGGCTGATAGAGTGGGACCTCTATACTAATTGTCTGGGCTGATAGAGTGGGTCCTCTATATTAATTGTCTGGGCTGATAGAGTGTGACCTTATTAATTGTCTGGGCTGATAGAGTGGGACCTTATTAATTGTTTGGGTTGATAGAGTGGGACCTTTGAATCATTGGTCAGGATTTATTGAGCATGATCTCCAATTTATAATCAGGCTTGATGGAGTGTAACCTTTCATTTTTGGGTAGGTTTTGATGGATTAATTACGACACATTTGCATTTTTTTTTTCACCAGGTTTCCTGAAAGGAAACTATTGAATTACGGCCAGGATCTATAGAGTCTGACCTTTTAATAATGGTCATGAATGGTGGATTGTAACCATTTGTGCCTGGTCAAGGTTGAAGACTGTAAAAGTTGATTTGTTGTAAGGGCTGATTAATTGACAGAAGAACTATTAGATACAAATCAAAATTTACAGGAGTTCTGGCCATTTACATTAAAATGAATATGATTACTTCGCTCCTAGTAAAAGTTAACAGAAAGTGACCCCTTTATACTTGCAAGTCAGGGTGTTGGAACTTGACCCATTTTACTCCTGATCAGGAGTAATGGAATCTGCCCCGCCGTAACCTTGATATTGAGAAGCGTTGAGATATTGTGATGCTAGACTTGTGTAGTATGCATATAGTGAGGATATAGACAAGTTGTCAGGAGGCTCCATGTCATGTAGACATTTATTTAAAACATTGTCAACCCTTGGCAAGCTGAGATTGTTAGGCTCAGTCTGAGTTAATGTATAACGTGCGTCGGCAACAATACCAACAGTCTGTTGAGAGCAGGCCATGGGGTAGTGGTATCTTGTTGGGTCCATGTGACTAGAGGTTGGAGGATTCAGGTAGGGGGAGTGTTGGTGAGGGTGTAAACTATACGATGCAACATTGTCTCCTTGATTACTGCCCAGGGGAGGTAACTGTGGGGGCAGGGGTAAGGGGCGGCAGTAGTCAATGGTGATGAAGGACTGGGCATCAGGAAGGCAGGTTGGATCAGAAGTTCCCTGCAGCATGTTTGGGGATGGGGACTCGTTAGTTGGACACGGGGGGAGTGCCTCAAGGTTACCTGTGTCAGGAGAAGGTTGTACAGCTGTATCTGAAACACAACCTTCCTGATATTTCAACTGAGAAATGCTTGACTGATTAGTGTCATTGTCTGCTTGTTCAATGATATTCTGTTTTTGGGATTCATTTGTTTTTGTATCCCTTAGATCAAAATCTTCCCCTAAATCCACAACGACATCCTCCTCTGCACTATCATGGTTCTCCTCTCCTGGGTTCTTTCGCCCCTTTTCAACAATATCTTCCCTCCAGGATTTGGTATCTTTATTGATTTTATGAACCATTATTAAATGACGACGAATTATTCCTGAATCACCAAAAGATCGACCACAAACTTTGCAACAAAAAGGTTTCTCTCCCTTGTGTGACCGTTCATGTCTCTGCAGAGACTGTTTTTGTATAAAAGCACGTCCGCAGTCTTTACACTCATAAGCCTTCTTTTCCTGATGAATTTTTGCATGCATCTGTAAACCAGATCTTTGCTGAAATGCTTTTTTGCATATTTCACATTCAAATATTTTTTTACCTGAATGTACGAATTTATGATCTCGGAGAGCCGAGTCATACGTGAAACTTTTCCCACAAATATTACATGTAAATGGACGACTTCCAGAGTGGACATTCTGGTGCATATTTAGAGAGTGTTTAGTTGTGAAGCTTTTGCCGCACACAGGACACAGATATGTACGATTTTCCCCATAATGTATAGACTTGATGTGGCATTTAAGGACATAATGAGAGGAAAATGTCTTCTCGCACATTCCGCAAGGAAAATCAGGTTTTATATAACCATCCTTGTGAGATTTCAGATGGTCTTCCAGGGTTCGCAAAATCTTGTACGTCTTACCACAGACATCACAGCAGTATTGGGTGTCTCTGTGTACCAGACGACAGTGGCGCTTGGCATACCTTTCACTTGGAAACAACTTCTGGCAGACGTTACATTTGGTGGGCTTTGCTCGATGCATGCGTGAATAGTGTTCTCTTATAGCAGTGTTACTTTTGTGAATAAAATTACATTCAACACATTGATACATCTTCAGGTCATTTTGTGATCTACTCTGTGTATTGTTTCCTCGATGACTTGGATCAACTATTTCACACATATCCTCATTGACGACTATATAACACTTTTCAGTTGAAACTGCCTTTTTGTCATTTTCTTCCAGGAGTTCTTTTGAATTTGGGGAAGTGTGGGTATTGTTCTTGCATTTTTTCTTTTTTGAAAAAGATTTGCTACGTTTGTTTTCATTATTTCTCCTATTTGATGACGGTAAAGTAAATTCCGTCTTAAAACAATCGACATTACTCCCAACGAATGAAATATATTTCTTTGCTACTGGTACTTCTTTGAATTCTTCCTCTCCAAGTGAGTCTTTTACTTTTGAGATGTCATCGTTGTGCTGCTTAACACTGGCGAACTCCTCTTCTTTACCAAGTGACGAGCAAATGTCAGATATCGTGTTTTTCAGCGAGTTATATTCATGATTTTCGTAGTCACAATCATCATCAGGGTCCATATCCTTGACATCGACTGTAGCTTCCTTGCAAACCATGACGTTTGATGGTATATGCAACTCGGCACCAGAATTAATATTAATCCGTGGAGTAGGCGTGTCTCTAGTTTTTATTTTCGTGGTATTGACACCATACTGGTCCGACGTACCGTAGATGTCCAGTGTCCTTGACAGCGTGTCATAAATCTGGCCTATCGGTGACCACTGACCCTCTAATCGGTAGTAGTTTGGTCTTTTAATCACACGAACACCGGAATTTTCACTTACACGACGCAACATGCCAACAAAATCAAAATGTTCGGGAAATTTCCCTACGAAATCTTTAGCGACATCTGCCCGAATTTTGGAGAAAATTGGTGTTGTGATGCTTCCTGGTAATTGCCTACTATGCATTTCACTAGACACTAGTGTCATCATGGAGTCAAAACATTATTCCGACAACGATAGCGACGAATCTTTCTATGTACACAAAACATCATCAAACCATTTTGACTCTTTTCTTCCTTTTTTGTGTGTGAAGAGCTACATCAAAAGGGAAATAACTCCTACTCTCAATTTATTAAGGAAGACTGTCCAGTATTATTTAAATTTTAAAACATTGAATCAAATATCTCATTTTGCTCTAAAAGCAAAGATCATTATTTTTTATGGTAAGTTTTCAAAAAAGAATACTTAAATAAATATATCAGAAGATTGATCATGAGATAAAACAAACAAGATGTATCAAAGCTGAACCAAATGATTCCTTTAAAAAATATTTTGCTCACTAGAAGCAGAAATGTATTATACATCTCTGCTTGAAGGTTTCATTGTAAAGCATTGTCATGTGATGTCATAATTTTAGAGATTGGCCAATGACATTATGTCCAGGGTGCTTCCCATTTGTTTACCAACCAAATCTCAAATAGCAGGTCTATCCAATGAACCATAAGTGAGGAAACCTATAGTGGTTGTGGGAGAAGTTCTGCTCTGCCACAGCTGATGTGTCACAAATTGGTGTCGTTAACCATTTATGCTACAAAGTAAATATGCTTTAAAGAAAAAGGTTGCTCATGCTCAGTTGATGGAAATGGAGCTTATATAAGTTACCTACATTCTATATATTGGTATACTGTAAGTACTCAAGAGGTCTCCATATATTAAGTTTGATGATGGTTATACTTCTACCAACCACGGATAATAATTTGTGAACCGCTTTGAGACGACCTAAGAACTAGGTTGTGATAAAGCGGTATATAAGAACCTCAAATTAACATTATTTTTATTACTAATGGTATTAGAGTAATGGGGCTAAACGTAAAGCTTTAACCAAGATGTTTTACCAACAGTAAATACCAACATTTAATGTCCTTACCACTATGTGGCAGCAGTACAAACATTTAAAAGTTTTAATTTTGAACCAATATACCAGCTAATTAAGAACTAACCACAAAAATTGGTTTGTTCATATGTTTTGTTTATTTCATTGTACAATACATGTCCTCTAATGCAAAGTGCATGTAATTAAATGACATGAGAGCTAGTTCACACCAAACTAAAAGATTATATCAAGCATATATGCATATATAGGTACACAGTAAATGTAGATGTAGACAGTAATCATAGCACATATGAATATAATACATACATTGTATATTTCCTTTTAACAAACACTCCATATCAATGATTGAAATGTTACACTTAGATGCATAATAAAGCCATCCTGCATCTCTATGTCTTAGAACAACATAGTTATTTGTATACATATGGCCCAAAACAAAGCATAGGCTAGATTCAACAGAATTTGACAAACTTGTCAATAACCATTCATTAATTAATATTATATAGGGTCAAATACTGTTGCAGCAAATATCTCAGATCCCACGAAGTGTATTTTATTTTTACATATTTAAGTGCAAAACAAAAAGCCACAATTGTTGCTATTGTTCTCCTGGACACTTAAGCAATCAGTGCAACATACCCTCTTAATTATTGCAAATAATAAATGTCTCAAGGGGAAGGGCCATACCCTGGAGCTTATCCTGTCAGCATGTCTGTTTACAATTCTTTAATGCCTGCAAGCAAGCAGTGGTTATTGGGTGGGAATCTGAACAGTTTTTATGTTATAATATGATCAAAGGCTTTAAAGTCCCTCGGAGCAGGGTCAGATCTCGGGGCCAATTCTAACAGTATGATCATGTTCATCTGTTCATACCTTGAATTTGTAAAGTTATTGGGTGGGAATCTTAAATGTTTGCATTCCATGACTTATGGTTCCAAGTCCTCTGAGGTAAGGCAAGACCCCAGGGCAAATCCTGGTTACATACATATATGTACATGTATCTCTTCATGTTCAGAAATTGTGTACAATGTATATAGTTATTGGTTGGGGATCTCACTGTTTCCATTTCATGACCATAGTCCCCAGGTGATTATGAGCAGACCCTGCAGCCAATCCCCATAGCATACACGTATGTATTTGTCCCTTCATTCCCATTAGTTGAATAGCTGGTTAAAGGAGGTTGGGGGAGTGTTAAAATTCCATTCTGTGGTCCAGAAGGTCATTTTGAGAAAATGTTGATGGACGGATGACAGACAGATGGATGAAAGATATTCCAAAGTAAAAATATTGCCACATTATATATACATACATTAAAGTGAATGATCAGAATGGTCCTTCACCTGCTTTTCTAAAATACATATTGTATCTGGTTTTGAAAACAGAATAGCACCATGTCCATGTATGAATGACAACCAATATCACTTAACTGGTATCTGAAACTTCTGGTGTTAGCTACGGAATAATTCCTGGTAATGTAAGGTCATAACACAAAGATCTGTGACACACCAAACACTTCTCATAATGTTTTACATTGCAATTTATGTGTTGGGCCTATATGCACTTTAAAAAACACACTGTAGATTTCTGCATAATTCTTCTACAGAAATATATACATCTGATAGACTCGAGTGTTTGCCAAAAAATAACAACTAAAGGAATCAGCTAGGAAACATGCAGTGACAAGAAACTTGCAGTGAAAAATCTCATTCTACGTTTACAGTATAGATACATGTATACAGTTACAACTTCTGATGTGTAAATAAAATCAGAATATAGAATAATAATGCAATAGCACAGAAAATTATAAAAATCTTAATCCATTGTCAGGTTCTCAAGTTTAGGCAATATATGGTATTTATCTATATAAAATAAATGTATGATAGGAATAAACAAAACAATTAAATGGTTACTATTTTTGAAGTCACAGATATGCAATGTAGGTAGCAAAATATGGTGTTTAAAATGTTCAAACAGTAAGCTCTTCTAGTAGACAGGGAGCTTATTGTAGATAGATATATGTATATGTTTTATTAAAATTTGCATGCTGTGGTAAACTGTGACAGGAAGCCCTCTGCTATGTACCCCCATACCCAAGTCTGGTGATTGTCAGAGGGGTTAATCAGGGAAAATATGTCAAATAGAACTCAAACTGATCAAATATTGACAAATATGAAACGTTTCCAAAACACACAACATCTTTCCAAAAGTAATGCTACAGATAGTGTAAGAGCAGAGCGTCATTAGAATATCTTCTGTAATATAAGAAATTATGTCCTTATGCCAGACGAAACCATTTTGACCTTCAATTTCAATTTCAAGCCTCAAGCTTTAAATAGGAAATGAAGCAAGGGCCTAAAAATGTTATGAAACACATCATTAATGGAAGATTTGTTATGCTTTTATATTTGAAGCAATGAATTTATTTGAAACTTCAAGATCAGGTGACAGCTAGGTCGACATGGAGTAATGGTACAATGTCTATGCAGTTTCATCAATATATGTTTAACTTTTTAAAAAAAAAAGGAGAAGAAGGAGATGCTCCAACAGATTATCACAGATTTCATCATGTAGCACATTCTCTGTGTAGTCTAAATGATAAAATGCATGGACCTGCATGTTGCAGGCATATGCGGTCAGGAATTGATAGCGTAACCACTATTCAAGAATTGAAAGTATGTAACTTGAATTCATGGTTTTTGTACTTTAATTATTTTTCCATTTTTAGGGAATTATTGAAGAAGACACTGAAGCACATTGTACTTCATAAATGGCACAGATGGAAAGGCAATGGTATATTATGAATACCTTGAAGAGACAGGAAGACAGGTGTATAAAAGGAGGGGGAGGGGCGTTGTTGAGTTTACTGAAAAAAAAGGTGCTTTTTTTGTTTACCTTTTTAACCATCCCAATCAAATTTTCTATGGGGGAATTTTCAATTTTCAGCTAACTTGGATCCTATCTTATATATACATTGTATATAGACATTTATAATAAACGTTGATGCACAATGATAATATTGACAATCCCCATGTGATTAAGATATATCTGCAACCACAAGAAGTTGAAATATTTGGGACAACTGTAACACCTTTGATGATAGTAAGATAGTCCAGAGTACCTTTACAGTTTACAGTTTAAATAGTTTCTATAGTACATAGACTTAGATCTAAATTAAAAATGTCACTTTCACAAACAAATTTCAATTCAAAGCAAAAACCACAAAAAAAGTGTGAAGAATAAAGGTTTACAGATTACATGCATGTATGTATACTTTGCATAGAATTTATGATACACAAACCATAAAATATCCAACATCTTAATTCTTCAGTCACTAACAAAAATGAAGGACCATGTTAAATTAGATTGCCTTGGTAGGATGCCAATTTGGTCTCAGCTAGCTATATAGGTAATATCGGTTTGTAAGTTCAATCTGGAGACAATTTTGCCTAATGTTACAATATGGCCAAACATAATTTCTGTATGAGCCTTATGTTGAATCCACTTCATCCAAAAGGTTTTTACACAGAATGTTAAAGCACTTACAAAATCCTGTTATTTATAAGAAAATACATTTTAAAATACTGGGTACTAATCCACATATTTAATAGATGCACAATTACAGCTTACGCATCATATTTAATCTTCTTTTTTATAAAAAAAATCTTTGTTCAAGAAAAAATAAATTGGTTTACAACGTCTAATTCACAATCTTGGTTAACATCTAATTCACAGTGAGAACTATTAGGTGTAGATTATAATGTGAATCACACTGTGTACAGGCTGTGTTAGTGAGGTGCTGGACTGCTAATTGGTACACTATAATTCCAAAATTGAGGCAATAAGCATATACACACTTATATGTGTAATGCATGTTATATTGATGCATTAACACAAGTTTAGGCATTAAGGGTCTAACGGGTGTCCCAAGCAAGTGATCGGTTACACATTGGAATATGGGACAAAACTGTCAAATAATAGGGGTCCCTTTAAAGTTTTTGCTGTTTTGATAGAAAAACCTTGTAAGCACATATACAATCACTGTGTTGTAATGCTGATGAGAAGTTGTCAACTTAGGTATAAGCTGTCGACATCTACTTGTAAGCTAATGCTGTGAATATATATGGACCGGGCTATATATGGGTTATGTTGTGATACTGGCGAGAAGTTCTGTGTCCACAACAATGTCCTCGCGCCACACACTGGAGTCTTTCTGAAGCTTGTGTACAAGGATGACGTGACGACGGATGGTAGAGATTGAGTTAAATGCCTGACCACAAAGCTTACACGAGTATGGCTTCTCTCCACGGTGGATAATTTCGTGGCGCCTGAGTGACTGACGTTGAGTAAAGCCACGACCACAGTGTCCACACAAGAACTTCTTCTCCATGTGAATTGCCTGGTGGATGGTCATGCATGACTTCTGCTTGAAGGCTTTACCGCAGATTTTGCACACAAAGTTCTTGGCTGAGGAGTGGATGAGCTTGTGTGTGGCTAGAGACTTCTCATACCCAAACACCTTACCACACTGATCACACTGGTGGTCATAAATTCTCATGTGGATGATTTTGGTGTGTTCTTGTAATGCTGCTTTGGAAGAAAATGTTTTATGACAGATATAACAAAAGTGCTTCACCTCCCTGACTTCACGATCAAACTCCGACTCAGGTTCATGTTTTCGTCGAGAGTGTGTTCGGAGAAGGCTGGGGTTAGCGAAAGACTTATCACAAGATGAGCAAGGATATATAGGCTTCACATAGCCCGGTTCATGGGATTTGACATGAAGTTTTAAACTTGTGTTGACTTTATAGCGCTTGCCACAAATGTCGCAACAATACTTGGGAGGATTATGAATCAATATGCGATGTCTCTTCATATCAAAAAGACTAGGGTACAATTTCCCACAAATATTGCAGTTCGTTGCTACATTTAGATGAGCTCTTCGATTGTGTGCATACAAACTTTTTCTATCCTTGGCAATGAATTCACACTCAGGACACTTTATATTGGTATCAGGGCCTGTGTTTTTTCTGGGTCGACCACGCTTTCTTTTGCCCTCCATAGATGTTTCTTGTTTTAGCATGTTTTTTTTCATTTTTTTCATTTTGGTGTACCGCTTTGGTGGCCTTTCAACCCTCCGCTTCCTGTATTTCCTTTTTTTCACCTTCACAGATACTATACTTTCTTCAGACACCTCAGAATCAAAATTCTCAACTTCTTCAGACTGTTCTGTGTCGGAATCTAAATGGTAGTCTGCATCACCATGGTCAGATTTAGTTGCTTCTTCATTTACATCATCATCTGGCTCATCCCCATCATCCTGTTTTTGCTCATCACTTGCTTCATGAGGAGATTCACTGATTGGTTCAGAAACTGACTCTGATGTCCTTTTGTCTCTTGAATTCTCTGGAGTTTCCAGCGATTTTTTTGTCACTGTGACACTTTCGTCCTGCTCATCTTTAATCTTCACTTCCATCTCCCCATCCTTCTGTCCAGTGACCTGTGTTGGAGTTGTCATTCTCTGACTAGCAGATCCTTCTTGAACTCCACTAATTTGGCTCAGTAGATCTAGATTTGTCACTAATTCTTTTCCTGGTAAACCGTGGCTAGACTGAGTTGCCTCCCCTTGATGTACAAGATTATCTCCTGCAATGTTAGCAGTTGTTTCTAGTCTATCTATGGTCCCTTCTATATCGCCACCAGTTGGTGCTGAACTGTTACCAAGGGAAGGTAGATCTAAGCTATCTCCCACATTCATTGGATTTTTTTCATTTATATTGGCAGATGGCAGTCCAACATTTGAATCGTATTGCCTATCTCCTATGTTTGCTGGGGTGTAAGATCTTTCCCGATTGTCAAAGTGTCTGTCCATCATGTTTGGCTGTGTGTATGGTCCCATTCTTGGATCATAATGACGTTCCCCACTATACCCAGGGGTGTAAGGTCCACCTCTGGTATCGTAAAATTTATCTCCACTGTTTGTTTGCATGTATGATGTTCCCCTTGGATCATGTACTCTATCAGCCATGTTTCCAGCATATAAATACCATCCCCGGTTGTCGAAATTCCTATTACCTGTTGTACCTGGTGTATAAGGACTGCCTCTGCTGTCATAGAAACGATCACCATTGTTGCCAGTATATGACCCAACCCTTGAATCATAGTAACGGTCAGCTGTGTTCCCCGATGTATAAGACCGATCCCGCAGGTCTGGTTGGTCACTCATTCCGCCATGCCCATCCCGCACACTGGGATTATTGATGTTTGTATCAGGGGTCATCATACGTTTGTTATGTGATATCTTTAGATCTTTAGCAGGTGAGTAGGCACTGGATACCATGGCAACCGCACCATATATGGCCATAGTGTTTTCCAGCATGCTGTGGACGAAGGTCATCTGTGACCAGTCACCAACTATCTCAAAGTTGCTGTTTCCTGAAATATATACAGAACAGTATGTTACCACAAAAGTGTACAATTTCATATTCAGTCATAAAATGCAGGCAGACTTTAAGAAATACTTCTAGCCCAACTTATAATTGCATAGCAAGCACTGAAAACTTCCACATGGCAAAAGGTGAGCAAAGTAGCATTCTATGGTTGGTAGGTGATTAATGAAATCTTCCACAACCTTGAAGGTGTGGCAGAAATCGCCAACCCAAGCCTGAGTGATTTATTTGGTTGTTCATCCAAAGGCTTTGCCGAAGGTTAGACAATCAAATAACACCTCAAGGTTCACCCCCAAGGATTGGAAACAAAAATGTATCTGATTTTTTTTTTACCATTAGTCATATCCGTCAGGATTTGTGCTTTGTCATTAGTGTCATTATGTAGCTCAAGATAAGGGATGATAATTTTTCTCCCATCCCTCTGTTTTAGTCACAATCCATCTGATAGGGTGCCACAGTAGCCATGATTGCTAATGCCCGCAGTCAATGTACTATTGTGTGCATTCAAGTGTGAGCTTCAGGCCACTCGCTCTCCCAAGAATTTTGGTTCGATCCCCAACGGTGGGCGAAAAAAGAGATTAATGTCTAATAGGGTTACGTAGTTGTTATTCCTAAGATGACACGGTGGTTTTCCCCCCAATGGGTTTTCCTCAACCACAAAAAACATAATTTGTTCCCTTAGCGGCGAAGTAATAAAAGCTCTACAGAGCTTTTGTTTGTTGTTGACAATTGTACACTACATTAAAAAAAGATTATTATTATATATTATTATAGTGCAACAGTTAATGTAGTCATATTAATAAACAAAAGTATCCATACTTGTCAACTTTCCTTATTTTGGAGGAAGACTCACGATTTTGAACATTAAAATTGAATTTGCTAAACTATTCCTATTTTCTAAGATCTGATGATGTCATCTGATCATTGAACAGCTCAAAAGATGCCATCTTAAAGTGCTATTTTTCCTTAGAGTGTAAGGATACACACATTTTATTTATGCTTTTAGTTCTGAGAAAGTGTATAATCTCCTCCACGGATATTACGATAAGTATCCCTTTTTTTTTATCACAATATATATATTTAAGGCATGTTTTAAAACAGATCTGCATGAGTTTATCTCCCTGTAAGAGGTGACGAGAGATCTTTCTCAGCTAAAATGGAAGACATATCCGTGAAAGGTTGTGGAAAATTGACCCATGTTGGTCTGCTATGGTCCGTTTATTATATTATAAAGTAGTGGCTTAATTGAGTAGAATGAACACTCATAGGCTGTACATGTATATGGCTGAACATATGCATGTGGTTCAAACCCTAAAGTCATAATAGCATTGGTTTTCAAGAATTGTTTTTCTTCTGCTCACACAACACCAATAACACAGTTTGAGTATAAAATGGTCTGGGGTGGGGGCTACAGTGTCTGCACTGTAAGCGTCAAATGGGGTGTGCTTTATACTGTTGATAGAATGAACCCCTTCAAAAAATACCATTACACCTCCAGCACACATGCAGAGGTATTAACCAGGTGGCTTAGGACCAAGCAGTCTTGTACTTCAGAAAGGACCTCCTACAATGTTTAACATATTGCATTTGTTTTGTTCATTGATAGGACTTATATGATATTGGATTTTATATAGTAAATCATCTTCGAGTGGCTTATTTTAGCTAGTTTCAGCAGGGCATTCCAATAAATGCATAATAATAACTACATGTGTACAATTCAGAGCAAGTAAATTTATTCAAGGCCTATTTTTCAAATATTTACTACAAAACGATAGCTTTTGGCTAGTAGAATGTATCTTCCTGTGGGCTATGTACCCTAAGTTAAATATGAACCTTCACTAAAGTAACCTCACTCGTACTGTTGACGTTTACGTTACAGCAACCCTCTTGTTGTATGTTATTGTTAGTCATACAAGAAAAGTACTGCAACTGTTGCCATATATAGCTACATCAGTAATAAACTTCGGCCTTGCAGACACCCTCATACTAGCTTCTACACACAATGCACGATCCCAATCATGTGCCAATACAGGCCCCCACACGTACCCTGGTTCACAATCCGTGTGCCCGTCTCTTCACAAACGGACTCCAGCATTTCTATGAAGTTAAAATGCTGAGGAAATTTGGCGACAAAATCACTGGAAACAGCTCCAGTCACCCTGGAGAAGATGACCATGTTGGTTTTTACGTGACAGGTCTTGCCACAAATCAGGAAAACTCCTGCCTCGGCAGCAAGATTCCCAAGAAGTAATTATAAATGAAAGGGGGACAACCCATTCACACAGGAAACTTTAAGGAAGCAAGCCCCAATCTCTGATGGCTGTGTTGGTGATCTCTTGTCAATCAGCCAGATTGTTCCCTGGTAATCCAAACCGCAAAATTTCCGGAACAAATACATCAAAATGTACAGCAGACACAATTAAAATGAATATACCTCGTAAATATGCAGCAGGTACACCTGAATCAGAAATTAACTACAAAAGTCCCTTTACTGTATCGGATGGAGGGTGGGGTGGGTTGACTGGTACTAATTACAAATTCATTACTGAACTTATAAATAACAAAGAATAAAAATAGGAACAACATTATTTTTTTATTTTTTTACTCCGCTTTTATAATAATAATAATAATAATAATATACAACACTTGATATAGCGCCCTATCTAGCTAACATAGGCCACTCTAAAGCGCTTTATTTAAATTGTTTCATTTGTTTTCATCAAATTAATATGAGAAGTTCAGGATATTTTGTTGTATGCATACAAAATATTTTTGAGAAATCAACCACAGGTCCAAAGGACATTCATGTCTTTCAGACATTTTATTTTTTGTTATTTTTTTTAATGTTTATGTTTGCTCTACAGGGCTAACATTCAATGGTTTAATAGACAGGCATACAAATAATGATAATAAAAAATGTACAAGAAAGCATCACCTATATAGATATATATCTCCACTCTTCATCACTTTTCACAGCCTTCATCAATATGATCATTTTTGTAATTAAGTTTTTGTGAAAATTGCTTCATTGAGCTGCCATTTAAACCTTTCCACATGTAAACACATTGTTTAAATTCAAAGTTCTTACCCACTCACTGACTTACCCCTGTACCTTCTCTATGATTGATCTGTAACTGTCTTTAATTACCCACTCACTCAATACTCCTGTATCGTCTCTATGATTGATCTGTAACTGTCTTACCCACTCACTTACTCCTGTGTCTTCTCTATGATTGATCTGTTACTGTCTTCCCCACTCACTTAATCCTGTGTCTTCTCTATGACTGATCTGTTACTGTCTTACCCACTCACTTAATCCTGTGTCTTCTCTATGACTGATCTGTTACTGTCTTACCCACTCACTTACTCCTGTATCTTCTGTATGATTGATCTGTAACTGTCTTACCCACTAACTTACTCCTGTATCTTCTCTATGATTGATCTGTTACTGTCTTACCCACTCACTTAATCCTGTGTCTTCTCTATGATTGATCTGTTACTGTCTTACCCACTCACTTACTCCTGTATCTTCTCTATGATTGATTTGTAACTGTCTTACCCACTCACTTACTCCTGTGTCTTCTCTATGATTGATCTGTAACTGTCTTACCCACTCACTTACTCAGTAATAAACTTCGGCCTTGCAGATAGAGAAGACACAGGAGTAAGTGCGTGGGTAAGACAGGTTACAGATCACTCATAGAGAAGGCACAGGAGTAAGTGAGAGGGTAAGACAGTTACAGATGAATCATAGAGAAGGCACAGGAGGAAGTGAGTGGGTAAGACAGGTTACAGATTAATCATAGAGAAGACACAGGATTAAGGGAGTGGGGAAGACAGTAACAGATCAATCATAGAGAAGACACAGGAGTAACTGTCTTACCCACTCATTTACTCCTGTATCTTCTCTAAGATGGAACTGTAACTGTCTTACCCACTCCCTTACTCCTGTATCTTCTCTATGATTGATCTGTTACTGTCTTACCAACTCACTTACTCCGGTATCGTCTCTATGATTGATATGTAACTGTCTTATACACTCACTTACTCCTGTATCTTCTCTATGATTGATCTGTCACTTTCTTACCCACTCACTTACTCCTGTGTCTTCTCTATGATTGATCTGGAACTGTCTTACCCACTCACTTACTCATGTATCTTCTCTATGATTGATCTGTAACTGTTTGAACTGGTGTAATAGGACGAGGTAAAGTGATAAAGAAAGTGCCGTCGCTGGGGCTCGAACGTGCGTCCCTTGGCTCTCCAGTCTGATGCTCCACCGCTAAGCTAAAGGGAAATTCCCTACAGCTGATGCTTGTAAGGCAATCTAATCAATACACATCTTTTACACTATTCCCCTCTTTTTTCTAACACCAACCCAGGTTCCTCGACTCCCCACCAAGGGTTCTCCAACACTTTAATGGGGATCAGGGCCACCGGCACGAGTTTGTAATAGGACGAGGAAAAGTGATAAAGAGAGTGCCGTCACTGGGGCTTGAACCCACGACCCTTGGCTCTCCAGCCCGATGCTCTACCGCTAAGCTAAAGGAAAATTCCCTACAGCTGACGCTTGTAAGGCAACCTAATCAATGCACATATTTTACACTGGTATGAAAAATCATTTTTCAGGAATATCTTCTAGCTGGATTACACAGCTATGTTTGTATTTTCTGGTGGTGGTCTACTTAACAACCAGTAAGGTACATGTTGAATATACATTGAACAATAAAAGATATCTATCAATTTCATGAGATACAGGATCTCCACTGCTCATTGATTTAATGGTATAATTTAACATCCAATTGATGTTTGATGGACTGATATGCAGTACCAAATGAGAGATTTATGTCCCCTCGTGAAAACATTGTTTTTAATTTGTGTGTTTTTCCAAACATGGTTAGTTCTAGGGTTAATCGAACAATATGGTTCCAAGACTGAACTTCAACAAACCCTGTCCACTTCTGCCAATTTGTTTACCATTTTTATCACTTTAAGAATACTCAGTCTCACCTTTGCCTTGTGATATGCTTTCACCGATGCTCCATTAATATTGTTTTGATCAATGTACTGATGCACAAAATCTGTTTTTGATACTTTCTGTAGATACAATGCCTTTACCTTTTGAATTTTCACTTGTTTACAAGTTTGGGAATTAGTAAACCTTCTGTATCCACAGCATGACCGCATGTGGTGACTAATGTAGGTCTTTTGCTTAGAGATGTTGGATAATCCAAAATTGATCCGCTGCTCCCAATATAGCAACACCCCAGAACCCTCATCTCTCCTACACACTTTTTATTTTTTTCCGGCCTTATCAATACCTTTGATTAGCTCATTTTCAGAATAATATGGCCCGGCGGAGTGTCACCCTACGTTATACCTGGTCCAGGTAATGACATGTCAGCGAGATATTGCATTTTATCCTACATTAGTGTTCCGTAAGGAACAGATAGGAGAAATGAAATACATGTGATCATAGTGTACTGACCATGTAACATATTGATAGGATATGATGATAATAACTTTAGATAACTTATACTTTTGTGTCCAAGTCAATGATTAAGATATGTTTAAATGAAATCTTATAATAGGGTAGGACATCGTTCATATTACCCCTCCTGTGGAATTTCCCAATTTCACACATAGACGGCCGAATTGAGGTAAAATCTTAAACAAAACAGTGACTCCAGGCTCAATATACTTCCACTCAGTTTGGTGTGAAGTATCCCTAGACCAAAAAGAAACAACATTGGATTGGTTTCTCTGGGAACTTAAAAAGGCAACTTTAATATACTTTAAATTATTTAGTATTAAGCATTCCTTATTCATAAAATATTGTTGAAGAAAGGAGATAACATACTTACCTTATTTTTGAGATTTTCTTATCTTGACAATTAACGTTATTTTCTTTGGTTAACAAGAATATCTCCAGAAAATTATAATCAAATACTACAGAATTTTTATGATAGTCATCTTGACCCGACTTTCACATAGTACTACGGTAAATTAATTTCATCTTAGGTTGTTGGTGACCTACATCCTTCCATGGACTTGATGGCAGAAATTTAAAATGTCTTGCATGTTGTTATTTTGCAAGAGTTCTTGATGTTTTTTGCTTGTTTTGGTGTTTTTCCAGCGTCTGGTTTGAACCTTTCAGGTTTGTCCTTTGTGGATGTGGTACTTTTCTTTTCTTCCTCCTTTGTTATGAAGTACAGTTATCAAGGGGTAGGATACACAATGTACAAAAGGAGAAATGTTTGAATAAAAATATTTCCAGTTCAGACGAAAGGCTACTTAGGAAAGGTATGATGTATTGTACATTACCAAGAGTGGAAGGTGATGTTTGTATCTGTGAAGGGTGGTATGGAGGGAAAACTCTATTTTGTGATTAAAAGTGGGAAGCAAATGATATAAAAAAACCACTTCATTTCAAAAGAAACTTTATTTTGAAAAAAAATAATGCTTATCACATAATGCATTACTAATGTATTTTACCCAAAATTACCAACATGTACTTTCAACATGGGTATATTGTTATGCAGACTGAAAAGTTACATCACATGCACCCTTTTAGGAGCAGCAGGCAGAAGAAAGTAAATGGAAATAAATCATTGTGAATGGAGATCTAATAATTTCTCATCAATAGATTTTTAACACATTTAACACAATATTGTATGCTTTCAAATAAATGTTTAAGTGTGAATCCTAATATTAATGAGAGAGCAGCCCTATTTATAGTAGTAAGTTTGTAGCTGTTACCTCTAAGTTGGTTCTAGACAATTCTATTTTCAGTAACACTGACTTGGACAAACCAAGTCCAAAATGTATAGGATTCTTCCTCTCGTTTGGGACAACTCTCATTGAGCTCTGTGGGATCATACGTTCTTAAGTTAGGATGGGACAAATTTCTGTTTTCAATAAGAGTGACCTTGCCCTTAGATGGCCCATACACAAAATCAATAGGGTTTTCCCACTTCCCTAGGTCAAACCATATTTGAGCTTATATTAGTATCCATGTAAAAACAAGAAAATTAAAGTATCTTAATCAGTGACCTTGACTTTTAATGAACTGTGCCCATCTTTCCCCTTTCCTAGGGCAATTAAGCCATGTATAACTTTGAGTTTTTTGCAATTATTTGTCCTGAAATTAGCATCTGGACAGGTGAATTGTAATTCACATGTGAAATTCTAATTTTAGGAACAATCTTGACCTTTGACAAATGACACCTTAACATCAATAAGGTTATTCCTTTACCCTAGAGCAACTCGCATATCTAGTTTGAGCATACCAGGATAATTTGTTCTTAAGTCAGGATCTGGATAAGAAAATTCTGTTTTTATGAACAACAATATTTACCTTTGATGAATCACACTCAAAATCAATAGGGGTCTTCCTCCTCCCTTGGGCAACCAACATACCAAGTTTGAGCTTTATACAATCATTCTTTCTGAAGTTAGCATCTTGACAAGGAATGTAAATGGACAGACAGGCACAAATCCAATATCATTATATTCCATCAAAAAAGTTTTTCAAGAGTGGAGATAACTGGCGTGATGGAAGTCCACAACCTATATTTCAAAATTTGGTTGACTCCTATTCTATTTTACAGATAGATCATTATATATAGCTTGCAACATATCAGTCATATGTTTATATGTACCAAAAGGAATGTATAATCAGAATTCAGTTTGTCCTGAAGTAGCCTCAGCTATATGGGATAGAGCTGTGAAACTAGTCGGCCAATAAAAGGGCTAGCTTACTTGTGATGCTTGGAACACCTGACTATCATCCTATAAGGGTTTTTTGTTGAACATTTCTTTGTCTTTATTCAAAATGTGAAGATATCATTCCATATTAATTTATGAAAATCATTATAAACCAATTAACATTGAAAATTAAGAATAACAACAAAAATAATGATGATGACAATAACAACCTTGTGACGATAATAACAACCTTGCGATGGCTAACAACCTGCAGGTAAAACTTTACCAAACAAGCGAACAAAATCATTGGAAATTAAAAGTAAAAAAATATGACTTATTCAACTAAAACATAAGAAAATTAACGGAAAAAGAACATTTAAAAATTATGATTTCAAAAACCAAAATGAATGCAACTATTGTATAAGTACCTAGATTCCAACTCAAGTTTGGGAAAAAATAACTTTTGGAAGGACAGAAAACAGTATGGTGGTTTTTTTTTAAGTACCGGAAAAGTATAGAACTTTCAAGAAATAACGCTAGTGAAATCAAAATCAAAAGATAAGAGTCGAAATAATAAACCAAAATACTGGAATAGCTAGTTACAGTGGCTGAGGTAGCAGTGCAGGGTGTCCTACTATGGAAATAGGAGATTTGCTAAAATCAAGATGTTTTACAGATTTCCTCCCTTAATGGAATCATTCAATTAAAACACTGCTGTATATCCGTTCATCTCTAAAACAGAAAAAAAAGTGCAACAACACTAAAAGTTGTTCTGCAACACTTGATGTCACAGAACATTACTTTTTTAAAACTATCATGTTGATAGTTTAATAGGAGTTCTTGCTAAAACTGCTTACAACAATGCTAAGCCTTATATTTCACCACCGTAGACCATAATGGACTCATCCCGTTAAATGCATGGTAGAGTCTACTTAAGTTACCTAGGGGTGAAAGTGTTGACCTAAACCTAACATTAGTGGAAACTCACCTTTGATGTGTAATTTCAATGTAAAACCACTGAATACAAATGCTGCATTTTTTAAAACAAAAATGCTTTCCAATTTGCATACTAAATTAAACCGTAAATTCTTTTTTATACTAAAAGTGTTTCCACATCCATACTGTTCAAAGGTCAAACTACATACATATTTCAAACCTATATGGTTCGTAAATTAACAAAAATGTTAACATTTGCACATTATGAATCCACTTTACTTAAATCACACTTGACACTGTCATTCAATCTTATAGCTAGTAAAAGAAAATTAAATAAATGTGCAGCCTTGGCACAATTTACAACATGTCAAGTGTTTTGATAACAATATGTACATAACAATAAAGTCTTCTTTACTGAGACAAGTTTTGCAACATGATTAGATTAAGACATACTGTACCGTATGGTAAGACTGTGACACGATTGTTTTTCTCACATTTTTTGTAGTGACATCAATTTACTATTTACCGATACATAATAGATCCCCTTCTCTGGACTCATGAACACATTATGTCCTTGACCCTTCGCATTATCATTGGCCTCTCTAATTGCAACTGGCTGCCACCATTAAACTGAAACCAACTTCTTCCACTTTGACTGACTTATCCAGTTTCATGTCCACTGAGTCAACTCTCACCAACTCAACAACTGGTATCACCTCAGATATTTCATTGATCACGAGTGTACCTTCATTAGCTATAAGCTACAGTAACATTTCTGTATAACATGAAATGTTTGTTGTGTATAAATATTCGTGGTTGCTTTTGAACCACCAAAAAAATTAGAACAAATTTGAATGATATACGTTTCTACAAACCACGAAGGAAAGTATCCACGAACATTTCGTGTTATACAGTATGTTATCAGAGCCAACAAATCTAACACAATAGTCAATATAACATCTTTATAATAATAATTTCCAATCACATTGTAGAAGGTGTGGTTTGCACAGTTTTGTGTTGATTGACAGCTAGGCATGTCACATTGGTCAGGGTTATGAACTCTGCTAGCCTTACAGACAGGCTGTCGCAGATGTCAAGGTCCTGAACTGTATCTACTGACATGTATGTTACAGAGGTCGGGGTGTGTGGAGGCCCATTACGTGAGCTGTAAGCAGAGGATCATGATTCACACCAGGTGATGCCCAGTCCCCAAGTCCAGTTGGCCCACGGTCCCAGCGATGAACCAGTCGGCGAGACAGGTGGTAGGGGGCACTGCGTTCCAGCTGGCTCAGTATCATCAACACTTGTCTGAAAACAAAACAAAGGTACTCTTATCAGTGATAAACAGGAGTATAGGGTAGCTAATGGCATCAAACAAAAGGCCCATGGGCCTGAATAGTACTAGAAAACTAGAACTTTCCTAATTTAACTAAACAGTCCTGCACTATAGACTTCTCTGCCAATTTTGATAGGTACATTTTTGGGATCAAGCTGATAACTTTTTGTTTACAGATGACCAGAGTCATTTGTTAGTCATTGTTGACATTCATCAACATGTAGTAAATATTTTGTGAACTATTCATTTATTTTTGTTCATGTTTGTAGCTCATCAGTTATGGCAGAATTTAGTGATGGAAAGTTGTTTATACAGGTAAATGTGTGTTTTGTGAGTGTCGCTGGAGAGGTCATTGAGAAGTATCTTTAGTATCTTTGTATTTATTCATAAATATAGCATGCATTGTATCTTTCATAAGGCTCGCTATAATTGTGCGATGCCCGTTGTAGTTACCATGAATATAGATGGGTTGTGTGCTGTAAGAATGCTGTCATTGTTCCTTAACTGTTTGTAGTGGGCATGCATGTAACGATGTAAGTTGTGACGTTTTTAAAGTAGTCAAATGTTTGTAAGGTTTTAATATTACTTATGATTTATTATTCATTTTGCCATCTTGTTTTTTCTCTCCCCATGAAGTCAGGTTTAACGTTCATTTCGAGATCCCGAAGAAGCCAATCAAGTACCTTCTATCATGTAACTTGCATATCTATTAAACTGGACTTCCGCATATAACATTATCCATGTTTCCAAGACGCTTATAAAACCTGCTGACAAAACCTGGTGTTTCCAATTTAGTTCCATATTCAAAGATTTAAAGGAATACAACAAATAATTCAATACATGTAATGTGAATTTTCCTATTATTCCCCATGGAACCATTAACAATTTTCAACCTGTTTATCAGCAGTAATTTTCTTCATTATTTACACCTATTTCCCCCACATATCCCTTTATAGATTGATTGAGTGCTTTTAAGTCCGCTTCACTACCGAGTTGTTCAGTTATCCAGCTGATGAGTCCCTGAGACAGGGTACCACAAATTGTATAGGTGATAAGTGGCCTAGTACATACCTGTGTAGGGGAGGAATACAGTCTGCAGTCTTGAGCACCCCTCTGGTGGACACCACATTGGAGCTCTCTGTACAGTCACATTTTATATGGAGACATCGGTCAGCATTTCTATTTTCTACCACAAAAAATCCACCTGCCCAGCCATGCATGAGTGAGTACACAGTTACTGATTCCCTCACCTGTGGTGTACAAATAAGAGAATACAAATCAAGGGCACGAAGAGTACATGTACCACTATCTAATATCACATTTCTGTACAGAAGATTAACTCTGAATAATTTCAATATATAGGATTGTTTAACATTCATTTCCCAGAATAAGATCATACAAAATCCCTGTCCAAATTTTTCTCTCTCTTACGTTTTATACAGCAAACGATTTTTGCACATTTTCTCTAGTCCAAGATGATGAAGTTTTATAAATGGAAAATTGACTTATTTTATTAATATATTTATTTATTTGCAAGCAGATTGTACTGAGATGTCAGTCAGGTTAAACTTCCACTCTTCCAGAACTTGGGACACCAGATTATGTATCTGAGTGTATACTCACTCCTTCCCGTTTGCCTTTAGCCACAGCCAGTTCCGTCACAGCGTTGGCCAGTGCGTACTGGTACCTAGGGTGACTTGTGTCTATCTCCTCCACCATCAGAGCCTTAGAGCTGTGGACTGTCAACACAAAGTCATGCTTCACCACTGGTTTGGTACCTGTCAAAAACAATAATCTTTATGTAGTGAATCAGTCTAATCAATCTCAAAATACTTTTGAAGCAAATTGATATAAAATATTGGAATAATTATTAGAATTGTTCCTCTACTACTTCCTATTAACTTAATGATGATGTCATTATCTAATTTGTTCCTAATCACATGACCTGTACTGTCACTCAAACAAAAAATGTCATAGAAATGGTGCCCTGTTGTCGGCTTGTCTAAAAGGCTGAAACAAGCCCTCAACAAGGCAAAAGAATATATTTGATGGAAAGCAGGCTTCAGGAGTTGTTTATTTTTATTTGTTTGTTTACAATCATGTATCTCACTATTCCATTCAAAGCAGTGAAAATATCAGAAGCGTAATTAATTAATTGTTCATACACCTGGATCAGTGACCATCTGTCTCATAAGTAACTTACTGAGAGTCCACAGGTTGAAGGCAAGAGGGACGAGAATGTACTCCCCTGGTTCCAGCATCTTACTACAGCCAACAAAACTTTTGATCTGTCGCTGGCTGCTCTCCACCAAAGGGCCAAAGGCTTGGATAGTGTTGGACGAGTCCCGTAGTATCAGTACACACAGGTCAGCTGGGCTCTTACTCTCTGCCTTGGTACTCCTACAGAGCGAAGTTAAAAGGTTAACATTTCTTGTCTTGGTACTCTTACAGTGCAGAGATAAAGGTAAACAACTCTCTGACCTGATATTTTTACAGTGTAAAGGTAAAAGGTCAACAGCAAAGTTTCTCACCTAGCACTCTTACAGTGAAAATATAAAAGGCCAACAACTCTCCAACATGATAAACATGATCATCATACAAAGCAAAATATCAGAATTTAATTTTTTCAAGAATTTGTGAGAATAAAAATCTATACTGGGTATAGTACTTAGGTACTTAATCTCTGTTAATTTGAAGCACATAATGTGAGTGTAGTTTCAATGAATTTATACTTGTATTGGTATGATCTAGCCACCTTACACATGGTACAGTTGGGTAGTAATCCAGAGTCAAAATCAAATCCGTGCTATCACGAGGAGGCACACATAAACAAATACTGTTCACAAAAGGAGGCACTTCCTTAAATGACCTAAACTGTTAAAAGGATGTTTAACCTAATAAAACTAAACCAAACCAAATGACCAAGTCCATATTCATCTCCTTTAACAGATTTACAAGTCATTAGTTTCTTTAAACACATGAATTTGTAAATCAAGTGGAACTAACTGCATCTTTCACAATTATTTCACAGTGAATAGTTACCAAATATGAAGTAGATGGATAAGAGGCTAGAGCAATGTAAGTGTAGGTAAGTTCCTAGTGAGCACTGAGTATCGGGTCACAGGTACTCCGGTACATACCTCATGCTTTCCTGGAACAGACCTATCTCCACCTCCGAGGTATAAAACACTGTTAGCTTCACCAATTTAAAAGACTCTCTGGCATTGGCTGGCAGGGTCCCATTGATCCTAGTCTCCCTCCAATCAGATCGCACCTTACAGATGTCAATACTGTCAAAATATCTACAACGGCAAATCAAATGTGTTTTCAAAGACACTTGGATGGATTAGAGATATTGCATCATATCTATATATAGAATATCTTGTTAATAACCACTGTAGCAAGAGGCCGCAGGGCCTTGAATCGCTCACCTGGCTATATGTGTTGGAAATATTGGAAAGTAGCTTCTGTCATGTGCATAAACATAGCAACATCCTGAACGTCAAAATGGTGGTTGTAAAGATTTACCATAAAGATAGTGGTTATGATCAATCCAAAATCACTGTAAATGGTGGTCAAGTTTTTTTGGGGTTTTTTTTATCCATTTTTTTTGACAACGAAATCTTCATCACAGCAGGCCTTTAAATGACATAATCTGAGTAGCCTTACATCATGAGGTCACTGAGGGATATCCAGAAAATGCCTGAAGTGTCACCATGCAGCATCAGGTCCTCTTTAGCGTGATAGCTAATTGTGTCCCAGCAGGCTGAGTTATCACACCAGTCGCCATTCCAGGAGAACCGTCCCCAGGGATTCCTCAGTCGCAGTAACCTAGCAACCAAACAACAATAAAGGGGTGTAACAAGCAGCTGATGCTCCCATATCAACAATACTTCTTCATATATTTAGGACTCATCAGTAAATTGTAGTCTTTGACCTACTAGTGTTACTAAAAAGCTATACTGACCTATTTACCTTCATGTATCTGACCTACTAACCCAGTGTTACCAAGACTGGGTTAGTATAAACTGAGTAACAACTGACCTACATACCTTTACACATCTGACCTTTTAAACCAGTGTTACCAGAAAGCTGCATAAACTGAGTCACACTGACCTATATACCTTCATATATCTGACCTTCTAACCCAGTGTTACCAAGAGGCTGTATAAACTGAGTCACACTGACCTACCAGTATATACCTTTGCATATCTGACCTACTAACCCAGTATTACCAGAAAGCTGTATAAACCGAGAAACAACTGACCTATTTCCCTCTACATCCCTCACATCCAGGATGGAGTAGGAGTGTCGTGGTCGTAGTCCCACAGCCTCGTAGCCCTCATCATCCACCTTCATGTTGCCTCCTCCACAGGATCCTCCCATCAGGAACCTACAAGGGCAAGGACAAATGAACAAACCCTGGTGAGTATGTCAAGGTCAAATATACAAACTTTGCTAACTATGTCAAACACGTTTCTGATGATGCATAGTAAGAAATATAGAAAATTCAAGGACTTCAAGGGTTTCAATTTCGTTTTTTTTTTTTTTAGTGAGTCATTAAAATGAAAGTACTTCCCTATAGGCAAATTCTATTGTGAAGAGTGTATATTTAAGTACTGCTCAAGCCTAAATGACCCCTACACATGGAATATTGTTTCAAGGCTAAATTAATTGTATAAACATATTATGTTGCATCCTGAATCCATTTTGACAAACTAGTACTATAAGGTGTTGTTACCCAGCATCACGTGAACTCAGCAGGCGTGCCCAAATGAAGTTGGGGTCAATATCTTCCTCCCTCTGCTGGTTATCTACAAAACAATACAACATTTGAATGGCTAGTATATGATACAGACTTCCATACCTGGGATGTGGTAGGTGTCACATGTACCAATCAGACAGCAGTCACATGGGCATCATAAATGTATCTCACATACCAGTGGGTGTAGGAAAATCATATTATATATCAAAATATAACAAACTTTCTTTATCCCAAATGGAAAGTAAAATGGTATATTTACTTTTATATATATGAAATAAAAAGAGTTAACTCTTGATATCATAGTGGAACTGTTCAAAGTGAAATGAATGGCAGGAATTAATTGCATACCTTGAAGTTCAATGTTTTCACATGGAGCACCTGTTAAGGTTGCTAGGCCTTCTATAGACTTCCCTGCAATCAATGTCTCATAGCAACCATGTAGCTTAGCCATAGCTTTCTCAATCAGAGGCACCCAAAGTTGTCTTCTTTTAGCCTGAAACACGAGAAATAGGTGAAAACCATTTCATTTCTATGAAACACACATGACTGCAGCGCAGATGACCAATTACTTACCAGGTTAACTTAAAATTTGGATTTTTTTTTATACTTTTGGTTTTCATACAAGATGAGCTGCATTTTAAAACAATTATCCATTACAACTATATGATTCTTGAAAACAAATAATATATCTTGTTTCTTTTTGTTAAGTAATAATTGCACATCAAAAAATAAGGTCCTGTAAGTCCACATATTAGATCTCTGACCTATAATTAATACAAGAGGCCCAGAGGGCCTGTATCGCTCACCTGGATACCTAAGCAATCATGGCAAACTATTCTCCAAATGAGATCAAGGGAATATGCCAGACCCCAAGGCCAATCCTTGTAGCATAGCTATATTAGATTTTTCATGCCCAGCAATTTTATGTATGGTTATGGGGTGGGTATCTCAACTGTTTTCAAGCTTTGACTCAGAAACTCAGAATCTAATATCGTGACTGCATTTGTCTCTTTTTGCCAAGCATTTGTATATATAGTTTTGGGGTGGGGATCTCAATCGTTTCAAAGTTATGACCCAGGGGCCAAGTCTGCAAGGGTGGGGCAGACCCTGGGATCAATTCTAATGTCATGACTGCATTCGTCTCTTTATGCCCAACAATTGTATATATAGTTTTGGGGTGGGGATATTAACCATTTCAAAGTTATGACCCAGGGGTTAAGTCTCCAAGGGTGGGGCAGTCCCCAAGGCCAACCTGGAAGCATATGTGCAATCATCTCTTTATACTCAGCAATTGTATATATATGGTTATATGGTGGGGATCTCAACCATTTCCAAGTAATGCATTTTATTGGCCCCACCCCTTAGCCCGGGGGGTTAGCCCCACCATTTGTACAATTTTGAATCCCTGCCTCCCATGAATACTTCCGACCAAATATGATCAATATCCATAGCATAGTTCTGCAGAAGAAGTCATTTATAGCAACATAACCAAATTGCCCCCTTTTGGCCCTGCCCCTCAGCCCCCTGGGGGGTCAGCCCAACAGTTTGTACAATTTTGAATCTCCACCACCTAGAGACGCTTCCAGTCAAATATGGTTGATATTCATCACTTCGTTCCAGAGAAGAAGTCACTTAAAGCAGTATAGCCAAATACCCTTTTTGGCCCTGCCCCTCAGCCCCCTGGGGGGTCAGCCACACCATTTGTACAATTTTAATTCCCTGCCTCCCAGGAATACTTTTGATCAAATATGATTGATATCCAGTGCACAGTTCTACAAAAGAAGTCATTTGTAGCAATATAGCCAAATGGCCCCCTTTTGGCCCCGCCCCTTAGCCCCCTGGGGAGTCAGCCCCACCATTTGTACAATTTTTAATCACCATCACCTAGGGATGCTTCCAGTCAAATATGGTTGATATCCACTTCTTAGTTCCAGAGAAGAAGTCGCTTAAAGCAGTATAGCCAAATACCCTTTTTGGCCCTGCCCCTCAGCCCCCTGGGGGGTCAGCCACACCATTTGTACAATTTTAATACCCTGCCTCCCAGGAATGCTTTTGATCAAATATGATTGATATCCAGTGCACTGTTCTACAGAAGAAGTCGTTTGTAGCAATATAGCCAAATTGCCCCCTTTTGGCCCCGCCCCTAAGCCCCCTGGGGAGTCAGCCCCACCATTTGTACAATTCTTAATCACCTAGGGATGCTTCCAGTCAAATATGGTTGATATCCATTTCTTAGTTTCAGAGAAGAAGTCGCCTAAAGCAATATGGGCAAATTGACCCCTTTTGGCCCCAGCCCTCAGCCCCCTGGGAGGTCAGCCCCACCATTTGTACAATTTTGAATCCCCACCACCTAGGGATGCTTCCAGTCAAATTTAGTTTAATTCCAACCAGTGGTTAAGAAGAAGAAGTCGTTTAAAGAAATTGTTCACGTACGGACGGACGACAGACGCCACGGTATGGCAAAAGCTCACCTTGGTCCTCGGACCAGGTGAGCTAATAAGGAGGTCCTCTGACACCTCAGATACACATACCTGAGAAAACACAAGTCTGTTCCTTTGATCACAGGGCAGTAGATCATCAATAAGGACAATCTGCCAGTTTCCATCCTTACAAAGGCGGACCTGGTAAGCCCCCTGAGGACAGTGGTCTTTTGTCAGAATGATGTTCTCCACAAGTTCTGGTCGCTCTGCTAACACAGCTAAGGCACTCAGGAACCTGTCAATACAGGAACAGACTAAATATCATTTGAAACTTTTTTATAGAACACTACTAACTTGTATTGAACAATAATATATTACTGTAAATTTGGTTATTTTCGCAATCTGCAGGTCAAAACTATATCCATGGGGAAAAGTTTGTAGCTGAAGTAGAATGACATTTATAGAGTTATCTCCCATATTTGACATCATTGTATAAGTAAATATATAGAGGATCTGACACGAGTGTTCATGTAATATTGAATGTATTGAACGAGTTTATTAATTTCATATGAAACGAGAATGTGTTTAATAAATTCAATATTACATAAACACCAGTGTTAGATTCTATTTATTATATAATTCGAGAAACACTCTTTTTCTTGACACGTCTCCTCTATATAAATTGTACCGATGGCTGACGAAAGGACGCATTACATGCATTTTGTTTGGAGCTCGCTGCGCCACAACAAATAGTTTCAGAAACTTCTTCCCGAGAACCTTTTCAATGAACAAACAATCATTTAGGTTTTCTTTATCCACCAATGTTTCAATAATTATCATAACAACATTAATAATCATTTTTTATACGAAAACCATTCAACGAATTGGCGTTTACGAAAATAGCAGTGACATCACATATTTGGCACAAGGGTGCGTGCTGTCAAGGTAAAGGTCATCACAATACACATCGAAGTCTGCACTTTTTAAAAGTTTACCGGGACTGGAGTGATTGTCAATCTCTATAACACAAGTTCATTTCTTTGGAGAGGGTTGTTGGTGAATATGAACCTCGATGTTTCCGCCTGTCACTGAGCCAGAAAATATACTGTGGAATCCGCCATGAAACTGGAACACTGATGAAGTTGACTGGTTACACGTGTTCGCCATTGATGGTGTGTATGTCGGAGAAGTTCAAGTGGAATTTGAACATGCAGGTGTTGAATTTGTGTGAAGCTAACAATCGTGTTTGTTGGTATTTTTAAACTCGTTTGTTAATCTTATTCTCCCATTGCCCCTGCTTCTGCTATCAATGCAAACACTAACTCAGTCAGCCATTTTGTTTACAAACGTAGCAGTTGTAATGCGTAGGAATTTGACCTGTTTCCTACGGTGACAAGACTCATTTGCATGTTTATTGTACGTGTGCTATATCGTTTCCATTGAACGACAATATTGCATGGAAATAGCCTGTATTATATAATAAATGTCCATATTACCATTAGATTGTGAGTACATGCACATGTTTCATAGGTGTACTGACTGGTCCTCTAGAGGATCTATTAAAATATAGATGACTGCATTCGTGAGTCAGTGTGTGTCACATTGGTTGGAGTACACACTATGAAACAGTCATATTTAGTCACTTGAGGAAGTGTTTGAATCTTAAAGTATACCAATACAGTGTGTGATAACATCAGCGATCTGAGGATTTGAGGTGTAATAACACCTACACTGTTAAAGAAACCAACCATGATGTGCTATTTAAAGTAGACAAAAGCCTCCTCGTCACATGTATTTTTTATCAGTGTACATTATGGGCCAATATGTATCAGGTCTCTCTATAAGTACTCAAAATAATTCATGAAGTAAACTTTGCTTACATTGTTTTCTTATTTTTTATTTTTTATTATTATAACAATGCATGACATTTAATGAAATATGGTGATAAAAAATTGTAATGAGATCAGACACAGTGTAATTTACGGAATTAACGTTGCTACCATTTGACTGAACAAATGAAAATGTTAATTTCCTTTTCTCTCTTTATTTCCTTTTCTCTCTTTTTTAAAATTTATAACATGGCAATTTATTATATACAGTGATGAAACAATACCACAAGAGTTCAACACATACAGTGTATATAACATAGGTAAAATATCAAGGAACCCTATGGATGGAATTACACCGAAGATCCACTTCCATTTGAGCATAAATTACCCTTACATTCTACCTAAACAGTATTTTTTTTATATAATATCTTGATAGATCAAGTTTAGACAGAAATCCTTATATTATACATACCAACAGTTTCCCAGAAGTCCCTGAGAAATATCTTCAGGCATTGGAGTCCTGTATACTGCCCAGGGTATTGCATCTTCCCCAGCCTGGTCCATTGTGATGTCGTAAGGTCGACACCAATGCACTGTTGTTGTTGTAAATGGTGCAGAACTATCAAAAAACAGGGATTTATCAGCAGGAGGAAAAGAGTCATCCACGAATGGCTCCTTTTGCTACAAAATAAACAAAATGAACATTTGATGCAATAAACCTAAAAGACATTCTTGAACTGAGGTAAAATAATATCTCAATCTAACAACTTGAAGTGCCGTCAGAATGGTAGACTTATATCCCCTGTCTTCACCAACTGTAGGAATTGTTCTTAAGAGAACATTTTAAAAAGGGGCATCATTCCACAAATAAGGGAGATAACTCCAATGTATATAGTCTAATTCCATTACTTTGATGTAATGGTCCTCTGCACCAAGTATCATTTAAATCAGTGCCGTACTTTGGGAGTAGTGGGAACAACTTTCTTGCACAAAGGGGCAAAACTCATTTAAAAGGGGAGGTAACTAATTCATAAATATAGGGTAAGTGTTATGTGTACAAGGTATCATTCAAATCATTGAGGTACTTTTGGAAGAGAGGTATGAACAAGGTTTTTAAACCCAAGGGCCATAACTCCCATAAAAATAGCCAAATCCAAAACTTAATCACAGGTACACAGCTTCAGAGTGTGTTTTAACTACATCAGCGACGTTTAATAAAATTCACCTGAAAAAATGTAGGAGGAGTTATGCAGACAAGATTGTGTCTACAGACAGATGGACGGTTCGACAACCTGATTTCAGTATAACCCCCCCACACACCTTCTTAACTTTGTTGCAGGGTGACACGGTCAGAATCAAGACAATGATGATATCTGCCTGGAGATGGAAATAATTACCTGGCGACAGAAGAAAGTGATATGCTGCCACAGTTCCATAGCATCGTTTTCCTCTGTCTTGCGGATATCGTACATAAGCGTGCTCTGTTGTCGTTGTAGTGACATGCCAGGAAAATCCTTTTTCTTCATGTGAAGTGTCCCACAAACCTTGCAATGTGTTTTATTTAGTGAATTCCTATATGTACACTCCGAACAAGACCATCCACTTTTTGCCTTATCCGATTTGTCTTTTCCTAAAGAACCCTTGTCCGATTTGTCTTTTCCTAGAGAACCCTTTTCCGATTTGTCTTTTCCTAGAGAACCCTTTTCCGATTTGTCTTTTCCTAAAGAACCCTTGTCTGATTTGTCTTTTCCTAAAGAACCCTTGTCTGATTTGACTTTTCCTAAAGAGCCCTTGTCTGATTTGTCTTTTCCTAAAGAGCCCTTGTCAGATTTGTCTTTTCCTAAAGAGACTTTATCCGTTTTCTTGTTCCCTAAGGATTCCTTGTTAGGTTTGTCTTTTCCAAGTGGTTCTTTGCCAAACTTATTAGAAGAATTTGCAACAGATGAATCCTCTTTAGGTGATGTTAACCTCTGAAGATCTTCCAGGAAATTGGACCTCCTTTCTCCTGGTTTTCCTTCTGGTGTTATCTTCTGTGAATCTTCCATCACAACTGATTCCCTTCCTGCTCTTTTCCCGGCAGGAGATTGCCTGGGTGTTTTATCACTACGATCCTGCTTATTGCTTACACCACCAGTGTTGTCATCCTCCCCACGTCGATCACTGTCCCCACTTCCAGTAGGGCTATCTGTATCAGTTTTTAATCTAATTCCACATGCTTTGCAGACAGTCACTTCTTTTCGATTCTTTAAAGTGCATTTTGGGCAGTTCCAATATAAGTTTGATTGCACAGCCCTCTGAGCACCACATACAGTACAAGCTAGCACAGATTTTGGATTCCGTAAAGTACATGATGTACAATCCCAATATTTGCTCCTACTTTTGGAGGGAGAGTTAGCATCATCTGACTTCATCTTAGTAACAAGTCCCTTACCTGGGGCATTATGATTTGGTCTGGGTGAACGTTGATGTTTTTCTGATGGTATCCCAGGGCCTTCTTCTACTCTCACTGAGGACTGGTTGATAACAGGAAGCCTGTCTGTTGGGAAGACAGGAATACTACTTGCCCTGTGGTGGCCAGGACTCCCACCGCCAGTAGGAGTTGTCTGCCTTGACACCGAGCAGCAAGTACACTTTGTACTCCAGGAAGGATTACAAGAAAAACTACATGCCTTGCAAGTCCATTCATCTGTCATAGCAACCAGTGTGTCTGACTTTGATCTCCGTGATACTCCAGCCATGTCCCGTGTTTTGGGTATTACACCTGAATCCTTTCCTTTAGCGTTTTTTGCCTGACTGGGGACACCCTTCACATGTCTGTGTTTATTTTTGTAGGACTCTGACTCCATACCATCAGGTACTCCTCGCTTACTTGAGGTAGGAAATTTATCAGTCAGGTCATAATCCAAATCTAAGGTTGGCATCTTCAGCTCCTTTGGTGCTCCACACACTGAACAGTTTTTGATACTGGGGGTGTTTTTCAGTGTGCAGCGTATACAGGTCCAGTCCTGTGGCACAGGTTTTTCCTTACTTGCCCCCGCTACATTTGGTTCAGATTTCCCTACTGGAGCTTCTAAGCTAACAGGTTCAGAAACTGTTGGAGATGTGATATGGTTGTATCGGACAACATACTCATCGTCATCATTTATAATGATCACTTCCTTCTCCTTCAGTCTCAGACAGCTTACACAGTGATCCGATTCCCCCACATTTTTCATTGCACAATTTCCACAATCCCACAGTTGTCCCTGAGTAGTCTCCATGTCAACAGCAAAAGGATTAGTCGGCCCTCCGAGGGGAGAGGGTCTGGGGGGAGGAGCTTTGGGTTTGCTTGTCAAAACTTTAGGTCTGACTCCTCCCTGTGGTGATAAAGGGCCTCCATGATCGGTGGCCCCATCGTTGACATTGTCGGGACCCTGTTGTCCAGGAAACAGTAGTCTTTCTTTTCCACAGGCTGCACATGTATCCCTGTCCTCACCATTAGTCAGAGTACAAGAGTAACAGTTCCAAAACTGGTCCACTGGTTCATACTCCATTTTCAGGGACCAAGCGTAACCATGGTAGCCCTCCTCACACCGATGATCTAGAAGCAATGACCTCAGTTTAGATGTGCATGCAGAAGCACAGACTTTCCTGAAGGATACAGCAGTTCTTCAGATCACTTCCACCTCAACCCTGTCAAATAAATGATACAATGATGATAATTACTTATTATCAATGAGATACATAATAATTCCATTTGTGACTGACTGACTCGACTTAAATTTTACCCATTTATATTTTAGATGGTAAACAATAATAGTGAACCAAAGCTACATGTAAGACTTTCTGATGAGGTGAAGGATGGTATACCCATACAACTGTCTTTTCAGGCTTCTTGATTTATGGATTTTCTTCTTTAAAATCATGGATACTTTACCTATATATCATATTTGAACAAATAAGGTTAAATTTTAGTCCAAAATTGTTTTTGATGGGGTTGGAAAAACTTGTTTCATAATTGTTGTAAAATAAATAAAATTTAATGTAACAGTCATTTTTGTGGGAACAAGATATAAGTTTTCTTTGGTTACTATAACTTTATGTCAGGTAACAAATATCAACTGGAAACCGTTCGGAAATTTTAAAGTTTGAATATGATTTCATGACATGAATGGTTCCCAATAACTCTAACAGTATAAAGATCAGGAAAGACCTGAGAACAGTTTTTAAATGGAAAACTTCTTTGTAGGTTTATTTCACAACATTTAGAATTGGTGAAGATTGTTATTGCATTTCTCTTTCTCCTATTACATTATAAAGGCTGTATAACGGAAATGTATACATTTTCTCTAATTTTGGCCATCAGTTCATATGCATAATTGAAATGTAGCACTGAAAATAAATCCTGTAAGTTTAATTGTGCTATAGACATACATTAAAAAGAAAATTATTTATATAGAGACAGAAAATTGGAACATGGGATTGTTATATTCTAGATTACATGTATGAATTGGAAAATGATGTATTTATATATAAAAATTTAAACAGACTGAGGTAAACATATGTCAATTTAGTCCATTATAAATATAGACAGTAACGATTACTTTACATGTACGTATACATATATATCCGATCTCTTTTTTTACTGGCTGAATTTCTCTGGACAAAAGGTGGTAATACAGTGCATGTACACACACATACAAACATATATGTAGCTGGTTATTTTTATATTTAGTAAATAGGAAATTCAATAAAATCGTAAAACAATTCAACATACCCCTAAATTTATGTTTTTGCCTTATACACATGTGTATGGAAGTGGTATGCTTGTATGATAATCCTCTGTACACATGTGTGTATATCTACAGTGAACCAGTCCAGTACATGTACAGGAAATATAACCAGCAATATAACACATTCTTCACCTGGGAAACAGTCTTTCTTACCTGAACAAATTAACTGTATGAAATTTCATGACCGGTGTCAGATAAACAAAATCTATGTCCCAGCACTGTACAGCTACCTGCTATGTGCTACATTGTTAACCAGTAGAGACATGCCACCAGGTAAATAGGTACTGGATATATATATAGCTATTGGAAGGTGTACCCTCACAAAGGCTGACTCATCCTGTGTGTTCTCTCCTCATGATCACTCTCCTGTAAATTGTAAACATTGGAGCGTGAAAACACCAGTACACTGCCTTTATCAATATCGTGCTTCACTGACCATACATACAGTAACATATAAGCTCCGGACAAAAGGGAAAACTTTCCGACTCCCAACATAATACACATAAATGTTAAATGACCCATACATACCTCTGTAAAGTTTGGTGTTTTTACTGTGGTGTTAATCATATATATAGATACATGTCAATAATCCCGATAATAGGTTTACTCCCACTACAGGGCATGTACATGTATAACACAAACTTGTATAGTCAGCCACATCACCAGATAGGTACACATCAGGGCTCCTGAGTCTTTTTGTGGTACAGTGGTAATCTGACTATGACATTATAATTAAAGCCCATGGAAAGGTTGTTTGAACATGACCTCAAAGCCCCTGAACAGGTCGAGATTTGACCATGACATCAGGGCCCCTCGGCAGGTAGAGATTTAACCATGACATTATGGGCCCCTGGAAAGGTACACATTTGAACATGACATTAGAGCCCCTGGACAGGTAGAGATTAAACCATGACATCAGGGCCCCTGGATAGGTAGAGATCCATTTAACCATGACATCATGGGCCCCTGGAAAGATGCACATTTGAACATGACATTAGAGCCTCTGGACAGGTAGAGATTTAACAATGACATCAGGGCCCCTGGACAGGTAGAGATCAATTTAACCATGACATCATGGGCCCCTTGAAAGGTGCACATTTGAACATGACATTAGAGCCCCTGGACAGGTAGAGATTTAACCATGACATCAGGGCCCCTCGACAGGTAGAGATTTAACCATGACATCAGTGCCCCTGGACAAGTATAGAGATTTAACCATGACATCAGGGCCCCTGGATAAGTTGAGATTTGAGCATGACATTAAGGCCCCTGGATAGGTGGAGATTTGACCATGACATTATATGGTTTCTACTTATCATACAATAAAACCTTACCATACCATGCAGGGGCCCAGATGTCAGGGTCAAGTTTCTTCTTATATACCTCTGATAAACTTAAATAGGATAAAAAGTAGGCACAAAGGGCCAGTATCGTTCGCCAGTTGCTTTTGTTATCTTCATACATTTCAACCACTGTGAACTGTTGTGGATTTGTCCCTCTGAGCAAAATTTACTCCCAGATATAGATCTAAGTGTGTGTGAATCTATTAGCCACATTTCTTCTTTACAATGGTGTGGTGAAATGTATCACTTATTATGACACATTATTTTGATACATTGATTCACACCATGTGAACTGTAACTGCAGTGTTCACAGAATACAAGCACTACAGTACCCTGACTAGTGACACTCATCAGCTTAGTTATTCTATTCACTGTAGACACAGTGTCAAAGGGGCTCTAGGGATATAGCAACTAGTAGGTGATAATCAAATAAAGCTCAATTAATACCTAAAACGTAATGATTTCCACACCTCTTTGTGAGATATCATAAAATGTTGTATCATCTGCATTATATTCTGCAACAAATCAGCAATATCCTCAAAAAAGGACTTTTGCTCTTATGAAGGACAAATTTGGTCAGAAGATAAGGGGACCTGACTGGGTCCAATGCTGTTAGATGGATCATATGGTAAAATAGTGGGGTTCAGATGCACTATTCCTCCAAAAAACTGGATAAATGAAATGTATATATGGAACTAGGCAAGTATGTGAAGATCATCTTAATAAGACTCAAATACTACAAATAAAACATGATTTTTGTTTAGAAACATTTGTATGCAATTGGTTATTTTAGCAAATGTCTCAGTTAATATCAGGATTACATTATAACAACAACTATACACAGTGAGGTCAGGAGGACTGGAGTAGAGAGGGGTGACACAGTGAGGTCAGGAGGACTTGATTAGAGAGGGTGACACAGTGAGGTCAGGGGGACTGGATCAGAGAGGGTGACACAGTGAGGTCAGGGGGACTGGAGTAGAGAGGGTGACACAGTGAGGTCAGGAGGACTGGAGTAGAGAGGGTGACACAGTGAGGTCAGGAGGACTGGATCAGAGAGGGGTGACACAGTGAGGTTAGGAGGACTGGAGTAGACAGGGGTGACACAGTGAGGTCAGGAGGACTGGAGTAGAGAGGGGTGACACAGTGAGGTTAGGAGGACTGGATTAGAGACAGTTACACAGTGAGGTCAGGAAGACTGGATTAGAGAGGGGTGACACAGTATAATACAGGAGGACTGGATTAGAGAGGGGTGACACAGTGAGGTCAGGAGGACTGGAGTAGAGAGGGTGACACAGTATAATATAGGAGGACTGGAGTAGAGAGGGGTGACACAGTATAATACAGGAGGACTGGAGTAGAGAGGTGTGACACATTATAATACAGGAATACTGGAGTAGAGGGGTGATACAGTATAATACAGGATGACTGGAGTAGAGGGGTGACACAGTATAATACAGGAAGACTGGAGAAGAGAGGGGTGACACAGTATAATACAGGAAGACTGGAGTAGAGATGGGTGACACAGTATAATACAGGAAGACTGGAGTTGAGGGGTGATACAGTATAATACAGGAGGACTGGAGTAGAGGGGTGACACAGTATAATACAGTAAGATTGGAGTAGAGAGGGGTGACACAGTATAATACAGGAATACTGGAGTAGAGAGGGGTGACACAGTATAATACAGGAGGACTGGAGTAGAGAGGGTGACACAGTATAATACAGGAGGACTGGAGTAGAGAGGGGTAACACAGTATAATACAGGATGACTGGAGTAGAGAGGTGTGACACATTATAATACAGGAATACTGGAGTAGAGGGGTGATACAGTATAAACACAGGATGACTGGAGTAGTGAGGTGTGACACAGTATAATACAGGAAGACTGGAGTAGAGATGGGTGACACAGTATAATACAGGAAGACTGGAGTTGAGGGGTGATACAGTATAATACAGGAGGACTGGAGTAGAGGGGTGACACAGTATAATACAGGAAGACTGGAGTAGAGATGGGTGACACAGTATAATACAGGAAGACTGGAGAAGAGAGGGGTGACACAGTATAATACAGGAGGACTGGAGTAGAGAGGGTGACACAGTATAATATAGGAGGACTGGAGTAGAGAGGGGTAACACAGTATAATACAGGATGACTGGAGTAGAGGGGTGTGACACATTATAATACAGGAATACTGGAGTAGAGGGGTGATACAGTATAAACACAGGATGACTGGAGTAGTGAGGTGTCACACAGTATAACACAGGATGACTGGAGTAGAGAGGTGTGACACATTATAATACAGGAGTACTGGAGTAGAGGGGTGATACAGTATAAACACGGGATGACTGGAGTAGTGAGGTGTGACACATTATAATACAGTAAGATTGGAGTAGTGAGGTGTGACACAGTATAATACAGGAAGACTGGAGTTGAGGGGTGATACAGTATAATACAGGAGGACTGGAGTAGAGAGGGTGACACAGTATAATACAGGAGGACTGGAGTAGAGAGGTGTGACACATTATAATACAGTAATACTGGAGTAGAGGGGTGATACAGTATAAACACAGGATGACTGGAGTAGTGAGGTGTGACACAGTATTACACAGGAGGGCTGGTGAGGAGTGAGGAGTGACACAGTATAACAATGGACGACATGATTAGAGAGGGATGACAGTATAATAAGGATGACCGGTGTATAGAGGGGCGACGTAGTGTTGACGGATTTACAGGAAGCAGCGAAAAATATGGATGAAACTTTTACTTTGACAAGTTAAACGATGTTTATTTCGCGCAGCACGATCACTTGAACATAAAAGTAATCGATATATGAAACTAAAAGAAATGAAAGAACACGACGGAAATTAGACTTTACCTTCTTAACTTTTTCTTTCCCTTTGTCACCCCTTTTCTTGACAAGACAAAATAAACACAATTTGCCGCGATGGTACAGGCAATTTGATTAGGCAACGAAAGTACTATCCACCAATCAAAATCTTGGACACAAGCGAGCGAAATGAACGTCAGATTTCCGGAAATGGCCCCCAGAAATCATCGCTCTGTGGTCGAATTGATCTAGTTTAAACTTCCTGAATGTAATAATTTCTCGATCTACCAGCAGTATGTCTTGGAAGTATTATTTGGTTACTTGAAGATGAAGTTACAGTAACCAGGGTATCTCAAATCCACAGCCATGAACAAGATATCGAACGTTGTTTATTCGGGTTGGATGGTGAAGTCTCCACCGGAGAAGAAGTTTCGTCTGACTGGTCCCTGGAAAATATTCCGAGCTGTAAGTCAGGTTTGTTTAACACTTGGCCTATACCGTATGCATTATATTTTATCGATGTTTTATTTGTTTGCATGCAGTTTGTTCAAAGTCGATTAATGGTGGGTTGTTGGTGTTGACGATACATTAGATGACTGTGTATTGGGGTGTAAACAACCAATATCGTTATGGAGTGCACAAGTACTTGAGCTGTTGTTGACGGTGTTACTGTTCACAGCTAGATCCGATGAGTTTAACCTATTGTTATCGGCGACAGACGTAAACTATGTTTTCTGTACTACTTGGAACTTATAGACAGTTGTTTCTCTAGTAATACTGATAATATTGTGCGGATTTTGTGCCCCACCCTCCTTGTAATTTCATTCTTGCTCAACCCAAGTTGCTAAGATTATGTGGTAAAAGTGTATCTGTAGAGAATGTGTATAGTGTCAAAATTGCTCGCTTTTGTCTTTGTTTGTCCTTTGAGGTTTTTCAGTGTATACCGATGACAATTTGTTCTTTACTCCTCAAAATTAGCTTCTTTTTGACATGTGTTTGACATCTGAAATTGCTAAACATCAACTGCAAGCCCTGCATCTTACTTATTAACCATTGTTCAATAATGATTCATATACATATTTTTTTTCTTTTTAGATTCTTTTTTTAAATCCAGATATATACATGTATACAGTATGTGAATCTCCATTGCCCAATGTTTGATTGTACTAGCCAGCACTTGTTTATAGTAATATAACAAGTCAACTGCAACTATTGCCAAGTATTTTTGTCATATCTGTAACAGAGGTCATTATTTTTCAGTGCCCCCGCCAGGAGTCGAAATGTGACCTCTGGCTAATACTAATCTTACTATAAAAATGATTTAAAGAGAAATTCCCCCTAGCAGAGTTGGTAGGAAGCAGCTAGTATTTTATTCTAGGGTAATTACATGAGACTGGTGTGGTTTCCATTTGTGAAGTACATAATGAGACTATCGTCCTGGATACATAGTGTAAAAGATGTGCATTGATTATGTTGCCTTACAAGCATCGGCTGTAGGGAATTTCCCTTTAGCTCAGCGGTAGAGCATCAGGCTAGAGAGCCAAGGGTCGCGGGTTCGAGCCCCAGCGACAGCACTATCTTTATCACTATTCCTCGTCCTATTACACATAGTATGTATTGATAATGGTTGATCTGGCCAGTGTTCTATAAATAGTTCATAATAATTACAAGGAATAACATTTTCTAAAGTGATTATATCATAATAATTACAAGGATGTACATTTCTAAAGTGATAATACCAAATGATTTTTTCTCCATATAAATGGTGAATATTAAGTTCGTTCATAGAACTCAAATTTTGTGAAGCCAAGGCAAACAAGCAAATGAGTGAACAGACCTTTTAAGGATACAGCCAGTTTATATTGAGATAGCTTTTACTTCCATTGAACAGGAGACAAATAACTTCCGTTTGATGTAAATCTTTAAGGGACCATATCCTGGTAAAAAGCCCTCAATATCTTATTTCTGTCTTACAATTAAATTCTGTTTGGTTTTATTGTTGTTGAGAACTTCTGTAGATCTATACATGTAATACATGTTGGACATGCGTGGACTACTGTTTAACATGAAATGTTTGTTGTGTATAAACTTTCATTGTTTTCGTGGTTGCTATGGAACCACGAATATAAATACAACAAATATTTCTACATCTCGAGAAAGAATATACACAACGAAAATGTGAAAGTTATATGAACTTTATTTCAATCAAAAATGTGCACGCAAAGGTAAAATACATTGTGCGTGTATAAAAAATGTACACATTTTCGTGGCAAATTTACAATTTCGGATTCTATTTGACCCTATTCCTATTTTAGTTTATATATACAGATTTCACATTTCTGTGTGATATTTACACAGTGATTCACAAACATTTTTTTTAGATAGTTGAACAATTCATTTAAGATAAAGGTCTGTTTTTACTGAAATGAACATGTGTTAGCAGTTAGTAATGATTAATTAAGAATGTGACCGATCAAATGAAACGGTAGGCCGCTTTCAGGGCATCATGAGAACAGGCCTAGGTCAGTGACAAAGTGTAACTTAGCATGATGTCAACACTCCCACTGCAGTTATATTTACTTTACCTGTGTGATAATTATTTTCATTGTTTGACTTGTACATAGAAGTATGATTAGTGTGACTCTTTGTCATTTTAAAACATACCGCAAATGTGTTACAGTATTGGACAAATGTTTCTCCGAATGGTGGATATATTTCGTTGTTTGTGGCTAACAACGAAAATTAATTCATTTCGTTGTACAGGCTAACCACGAAAGTTTGTACCCACGAAATGATCTGAGAGCACTAAACCACAAAAGAAAGTACACTAATTACATTTTATGTTATATAGTATATGCACAGGAAAGAACCAAAGGAATCTCGGCTGTCAAAAAACCCTATCAACAACAATGTAACATTACAAGTGATTACACCCACATTACTGTGCTCCTGTCAATCTGACATTAGGTACAATGTATTGGCAATCATATTACCGTAATCACCCAGTATTAAATGATTGGCCAGATATTGTGACTACTAATCACATGCATTATGTATGGTAGGTCTATCATTGTTTTATAATGGTCAGCTTCATTTGTAATTGTAGGATAATGTTTGCTGACTTGTGCTGAACATGATTTTAGATAATGTTGACAGTCTATGTTTGCCCCATGTACTTGTTTAAAACTTGGTCATGCTAGTTTTCTCAACTGATTACAGCTGATAATGGACTCTTTAGTTGCAAATTTCATTTATTTTCATGGTTTTGATCTTTTTGTGACATCTCAGCATCAAATTTATGTATCCTTTTTATAAAAAATTTAAGAGTAATCAATATACTTTCAGGAATGAAAGTTAAAATTGCTTACACATGTAACTTGAAGATAAATGTAGAAATGTCACATTCACATGCGTGTCTATTCATATATTAATATAAATGTCAGCTTTTGAAATTCATTAATCTGCATCTGCTACCTAAAATAATATTTAACTGGCCTGCCACGATTCATATAGACAGAAGGTAGACATATATACACAGTATGACACTATACGGTAAACCTCCGATCAGTTCAAATAGGCAGATAGTTCTAACACACTTTTTGAACAATAAAAAGAATAATTTTCTGTCTAGTGAGAGTTCGAAACCTGCTTACACACATTTTTGTACTCAATATACTCTTTAGAAGCATAAAGTGCTTAAAACGGTGTTAAACTGACATTATTCACAATTTGAGTACTGAAATTATGTAATTCTTGATCGAAGTTAGCTATCGGCGATGCAATTCTGTCTTTGCGTATTACAAGTTATCTTCTCTTATGAGAAGGTATTGATTGTTACGTATATGTCATTGGTTTGTGCGAGAAAAGTATGTTGTTTTCTCAAAAATTGATGACGTTACTCTCACAAACTAATGACGTAACAATCAATACCTGCTCACAAGAGCAGATAACTCTGCAATACGAAAAGACGGAATAATAGCCTTGTGAAACTCGCTTAACTGGTCAGTTTTCGCATCGTCAGCGTTTAACTACTGAATAACGGGTAGTACTCCTGTGCGACCATTGTTGTCATTGATGTCGGACAATTTTTTCATAAATAAGCCACATTTCACCGATGATTGAGTATCTTTTTTGTAAACATGTGTACGTACCAGTCAAACATCTTTAGGCCCTGACCATGTGTAATATCCTTACAGTACACGGAGCGTGGACTGTTACTGTCTCATCGCTATTAACAGACGTGTGTATTGTCATGATATTACTGTGATTACAATTAGATTATATAATCGCGACCTTAACAGGCAACCAATCCCTGATTTATTACTTAATTGATATATTACCTATACATGTGTCAAAACAAAAATATTTAACCAGGTGGTAGATCGATCTATTAATCTGTAATTGCAGTTTCAATCCACGTACCCTCTGCATTCTGATACATTACAATTGAACTTCTGCCAATACTCGAGAAAACATCTGCTGCTTTGCGACCTACATTGTCTCTGCTATGCTATTGAACTTAGTTATAGATTATAAATATATAGGTAAATATAAGAAAGACATATATACCATTATTCATCTCCAGATTTGCAAATAAATTTCGCAATAGGCCGTCATTGTTCCGTATCAACGACTGGACTGTTTGCCATGATTTTGCCGATGTGAGTCGGATAGTTCGAACTAATCTTTATTTTAGTGGCTATAATTTCGTGTTATTTGAACAGAATTGACAATATTTATTTTATTTTGTTCGAACTGACCGGAGGTTTACCATATTCGTTCATGTATATAATGAAGAAGATAAATTATTCAATGGGTTAAACAGAATTTATTTTAAAGTTTCATGTTAATAGGTTTTTTAAGAGGCTTTCAACAAGCTCTACTCCTGGATAATTAAATCAGTTAAGGATATGTGTTTAATCTTTACTTCCTGTCTTTCTTCTAAACAGCTGGTTATTGTTGGTGATACCTTACCTGGTTTATTCAACACCGTATATAGAAACCTACATCTTTGTTAACCCTGTTTGGACAGGTGGTATATATATATAGTGTAGTACAGTGTATTCCGTGGGTACCTGATACATGTACTGTATTCAAATTGTAAAAGTGGTCCATGTGCCTTTCCCTTCTTCCATATATACTTATCATGACCATGCATATAGAGTAGTGACTTATATATTATTTGAAAAATAATTTCTATTTTGCAAAATTGCTAATTGCTTAAAAGCACTTGAAGCAACTCTCAGATAAAATACATTATATGTTGCTATAATTGACACTAATTAATTACCTTAATATACAAGTAAAACAAAACATTCTAATGAGGGTGATTCATTGTGTACTTAATTTTGTAGCCAATCATGATCATCAGCCCCCTACTGTTTGTCATTGTAGGGGAAATTACCTCAAGCAGGCAGTAGATTACACATGGTTGTAGTCCCGATTCTAGGAACAGAGTTACTAACAAAATAGGT